GGGGGGGGGGGGGGGGGGGGGGGGGGGGGGAAGTTAGACGGATTGTGGTTTAACGATATTTTTAAGCGCAGGTGCCGTGGATGAATGAATGGTTGACGATTTCGGAGTGGGGGAGCCGATTCCACAAATACCTTCGTCCTATGGGGAGAGTTAAGCAAAAAAATATTTCAGCTGGGTAGGGCGTCGCCTTTTTCAGTTGTCCAAGTTTGATGATAGGCGAGAATGGGACTAAGAATAGGGTAGCATTTAAAAGATGTCCACTCGAGGGAAAATTTGACATGTCTGGGGAAAAAGCCATATCGAAATGCCCCGAGCCTGCCTTATCTTTAGCGACTGCGAGCGGTATCTAGTGAGTTTAACATCGTGGGTATTTTATGTTCATGCTTTAATGGGTTGAAGTGATGCAGAGGAAATACGATAGAGAGAGAGAAAGAGAGAGAAGGCTCGAGCTAGGTAAGTGGGTCTAGGTAAGTGGGTCAAGTTCGAATCCATCGTCGGAGTCGGAGGCTGTGGCGTAATCGAAAGGGACAGGGTTGCGCAACTTTCCCTCCCCGCGTCCCTGTGCCCTCCAGGCTTCCCTTCCATCGTCGGAAGGAGAATTCCGAGCCTCTAGTTCTCACTTTTTACTTTGCGATCGGTTCTCCCCACTTCCCCCATTCCGCCAGTCCTGTGGAACTACGGATCGATGCACTCCATCGATCCGGCTGGCATTCTTTCCGAATTCCGCAATTATCTATGTATGTTCTTTTTTTCTATAAGCAGTGAATGAAAGCTGTCGAGGTACGTTATAGCGGCTTATGGGGGTTGCAGCCGATATCTAATCGCGAGTCGGGGTCGTAAAAGAGTTGCTCGGATGGGGTTCGGACTGAACCCTGCCGTTCTTCACTTCATCCGATGTAGGACGCGTTGATGGAGGAGGAGGAGAAAATCCAGAGAAGAGATGGAATTCCTCCCCTCGTTTTCCCTCCTTTTTTTTTCCTCCACTTTTCTCTCTCTTGCGCACTCTCTCCCTCGCATGGAATCTAGGACACAGTCTCGTTCCTTGTTCCTCCACTCCCCTCTACTTCCAAGTGGGTCAAGGCCTGCCACTCTCTCTCTCTCTCTCTCTCTCTCTCTCCTCTTTTATTCTCCCCTCTATCTCTTTCCCCTGCTGTTATCCCGACTCTGTTCCCATTCCCCAGAGTATCTCTTTCCTCCGGTTTTTTTTTTCATTCTTCTCCTCCGTCCTTAGGCCAAATGTTGGCGACAGATGATGTAACTTTCCGGGTTCGCAAGGACGTCTTCATCTGGAGTCAAATTCGGCAATAATAAGTCCGAATTCCCTTCCCCTTGCGCCACGATGGAATGAAAAACTGGCTCATGGCCCTGCTCATTCTCGTATGGCGAATATTGTTGCCGTCGCGAGCAAATCCCAATAGCGCACTTGTTCGATTCAATGTACACCAGCACACTTGTTCCATTCATTGTGCACCTCTGATATATAAGTCTGTCATCATAGGATCAATGTTGACAGAGGCCGAGGTTTTCGCTCTTTCCGCCTAATGCAACAATCGCCTGCAGCTTAATCCTGGATGGAGCTGCATTGCACCTTTTCCATTGCGACTGCGTAATCAATTCTGTTTTTGGATGTGATGGCTTCAGAACAAGGTGCATCGTTTGCTGCACCTGTAAGTCGTCTCAGAGGTTCGGTGAACTTGGCAACAATGGGTTTCCCGCAAACCGAGGGGGGAACCCTGCACCTGGTATTTTTGTTATTTTTGCAGCGTCCCTGAAGTTACATGACCACCGCTCGAGGGAACTTGTAAGGGTTGTTATCCGGATGATTTTGTTATGAAAACCCCTGAGGTCTCTCTCTCTTGTCGGATTCCTTTTAGAGGGGGGAACTGAGGTTCCAAATCCCTGACTAGGCGAGGCAGGCAATTTTTTTTTATGGGGCAAAAACTCTCTGAGGAACGCGAAAGCTTCGCCCGTCTCTTTTGTTGATCCTTAGTTGGGCCTGAATAATTCGATAATCTACTGTAGATTCTGATTAGAAACTGCAATTTTAGATATCAATACCTATCTTCGGCAAATTCCTGACTCCGGCCTGGTTGTGAACGAATTCGTGCTGAATGGCATATTGATGCTTTTCAATTGACTTTTTTTTCCCTTTTTACAGAATTGCAGAGTGAAGTGGAAACGAAAAATCATTGTCATTGAAAAATCAATCCCTGGGCAAGGTATTCGGCAATGACTTACGCATAGAATTCAACCGAACCGAATCGGGACTTCTCGGGAAGTGGAGAGGGCACCTCAGACAATGTAGCATATTATGAATATCTTAATGAATGGGAATGCCCCTGGGGTAGGAGACGGGCAGGAGGTCGGGAAAAGGGAATCCATCGCTCATTCAGTCTTGTGGAAAGTGAAAATTCTGCTGTTGGAGCCTTTGAGAGGGAAACTTGTCTTCGTAGTGAAAGTGGGGGTGTTCATCCCGTGAGGTCTTTCTTTCACCCCTCCCCCCCTAGTGGGCTTCGGGTTTGGTCCTCTACTTGAACCCCCGCAAGCTTGTTTCTGAAGGGTATGGTATAAATAAATGTTCCACCCATGCCGTGTTGAGTAAAAGTCTTTTTTTTTTGTGTGTAGGTTTTGTGACATTTCATTCGGTTTTTGCAAGGTGCAATTCGATCTTTCAGTACTTGCGCTTTGTCCGAATAGGAGCAGGCGAAGAGTTTCAGAGCACCTTCATCATCTCGGCATCGTTCTCGCGAAGATTTCGGTATAGGAATTTTCTTCGGCTAGGCCTCATTTCTCGTGCTTGCGCAATTGCCCGGATGTCTGTCCGTGGGTGCGTGTGAGCGCGGGGCTGTCGTCATCGGGGGGACTCGTGGCGCTTCCAACTGCACCTCGATGTTATCAACCAAAATAAACTTGGGGGTATTCCTCCCCTTTCCATTTTGGCTCCATTTCCCGTGTTATTTCGCCCGTATCGGCACTGACGGCAAGCTCGAAAGCTTTGCCTTTTGACTGGACCGTACCCAACTCATCGCATTTGGGCCAGGTTGAGATCGTCCGTCGGCGACTCTCCGAGGAAGGCGTATGGGGGCAGCCTCGAGAGTGACGGTCGGAACCTGTTCAGTACTCCTTGCCGAGGCGAAAAGAATGTCACCAGTTTCGTAAACCGCCTGGATCTTACAGCCCTCCCTGTTTTCCCGCGTTGGAAGTCCGAAAGCGTCTCGTTGAGTAAGAGTCGGCATGGAATGTCTCACTAATGAGGGTGCTGGTCGTTCGCGCACGGTGCGCTCCGGAACTCACACGTTGGTCAGACTCACGACTTTCATGCGTGTTGGCAAAAACTTTTTTCCCCCCCGATTTTCTATTTTTTTTTTTTCCTTTGTCCGGTTTGGGCCAGCGGCGTCCATGTCCATGTTCGCGCGCTTTCGTTCGCGCCGGAAAGTGAAAGGTTATTGCATTCTCGAAAGAGTACGCTCCCGTGCAGACAGGAGGGGAGGAGGCACACGTGTTGTTGGTTGCAGAGGGCTTCAATTCGACACGAGTTGGGAAACGGGAGTGAATTTACCGACTCGGTCTCGCACTTTCTCGCGTCTTTTTCGCACCCGAAGTCGAGTACGACTTTCGAACGCGGGGGTTGCGAAACTTCCCGCTCGTGTCGTTTGCATACAAAGATTTCAGCCTCAAATTCATAGAAGATTTTCAGGTGGCGCTTGCCGTAACGCGTTCGCTGTATACTTTATGCGTAGTGGGCCTACACATCTTCATACATACATGAAAAGTGGATTTCGTCACCTGCCTGGATCAGTCAAGGCATTCATCGTTTCTCGCTGCTGTGAAAGTGAAATGAAAATCTGTAATAATATGCAAAGGGTCTAATTTTATCCTGAACGTGGGAAAGGATCGCCATGGTCACCTCTTGCGAGACCGGGAGAACGGGATTTCTATTTCACAATCGGGTTTTTTCACGCGCTCGGTATTTATTTTTTTTTTTTACGATGGGTATTTATTTTTTTCCACGATCGCAATGGTTTTTTTTTCCACGATTGGTACTTATTTCTTTCATGGTCCCTATTTCTTTTTTCACGACTGGTATCAGTCTTGTGACTCGACCCGGGTACTCCTGCAGGTGGATGACCAGATGAAGCTGCTCCAGGCGTCCTGGTCGGACATCCTCGTCTTGGACCACATCCACCAGAGGCTCCACAACCACCTGCCGGACGAGACGACGCTGCCGAACGGGCAGAAGTTTGACCTCCTCGCCCTCGCCCTCCTCGGGTCCCCGCAACTCAGCGATCAATTCAATGAACTCTCAGCGAAGCTTCAGGACCTCAAGTTCGACCTCTCCGACTACGTCTGTCTCAAATTCCTCCTCCTCCTCAATCCAGGTGACGAGCCCCCGTCTGCCTTCTTCGTCTGTCCGTTATGTTTGATCGTTACTGCGGGCGGGGGGGAGGGGGAGACGGGGCCGCGAGAGCGCGGCTGTCACGGGCAGATCCCTTTTTCTTTAATACTGATTTAGTGGGTTTGTGTTGGGGGAGGGGGAGCTTCTTGGCTAATGGCTATCAATTGACCTACTTTTCCCCGCTATCCTCTTTATTCCGTTGGCTCGCGAGTTTTCCCGGCCCCTTCGTGCGAACTTCTCTTGAGATCTTCCACCCTTTCCATCACAGACCACTGACGTAATACAAAAACGCTTTCAGATCTCGTCTGAATTTTTATCTGGATCACTTTTAAAGTGATGAATTCATGCGTCGGCGCATTCATCTAGATGGGAGGAGGGCGGGGATTGGAATCGTTGGTCAGCCACTCTGCGGTAATATTGTTTGCGCAAGAGGTTTCCCCCTCCCCCCCCCCCCTCTCCATGCGGTAGACCATGATCGAACTACGAGATCCCGAATGGAAGTTCTTTTTGTTTTGTTGTAAGGTTAGAGGGGACCAATCTGAGCCACTAGATGGGTTGCATCAAGTGGAGTCTTGGTTGGGACCTTTCCTCTGGAAAAAGAATCGAGGCATGAATTCTGCCCTTTGGATACGGTTGTGGGAGTGGAAGAGTGGGAGTGGAAGTTAAAGAGGATGGATGGCGCGTTGCGAAACCGGGACTAGAGAGGGGGAGCGAGAGATTGTATGTATGAGTGTTTCTATGTGCGTGTGTACTTCCTTCCGGAGCGAGGGGGGATATGGAACGGGAGCGTGGCCAAAGGGACCGACAGGGGTCCATTGGGGTCCGCCTTAAGGGTCGGTCTTTTTGCCTCGAGGAGCACGAAACCCCCTGTTCCTGCCGCCTCAGCACATTGCCCTACTTCCCTTCTCCCCTTTTTCTTCTCCCTCTCGCAGGCGTGCTGCCACTGGTATACGCTGGTTATACTAATCAAATATATGTTTGTTTACTTTCGGTTTGGCTTACTTCCTTCCCAGCTTATTCAAAACTTTCTTAGAGATACAGCAAGAGCTGTCCAATATCCCCGTAGTGTTGCTATTGCTAATTCTAAAGTACTATCGCTATTTCTTGAAGAGGCAGGCCGCCTCTTCAAGAGGGAATGCGACCACATATTGACTCTTGCTGTCTGTTTTTCACGATCTTCCCACTTTTGCTGTCTAATACTTTCTAAAAAAATTTAATATTTGTGTCATATATCATGTATCATGTATTAGGTGTCATGTATCAGGTATAATTAGACTAATTGTTGCCATGGTTGCCATTGTGTGGGAAATGTCTGAGTTGCCCCCTGATTAAAAAAAATGCCTCTTGGATGAGTTGAAGGGGTTAAATATGCATCGAATAACGAGTGGCTTTTCCCGGTGGCATTATCCCATTGAGCAAGAGGTGTAAAGGAAAGGATTACAATTTTGAATGGCTCCCAATATCCTAAGTCCGTTGCCGAATTCGTTTAATCCTTGGTTTCAATCGTGGTCTGCCCCTGGGACCTCATGCCTAAGGTGACAAGCCAATTAGCTGGCCTGGAATCAGGAATCAGATGGCAAATACGAATTACCGAAATGGGGTTCCTTCGTTGTGTTGTTTGCTTTTTATTTCATGCTGGGATGCAGAGTGCTGGCATAGTTTTGTGCAAAGTGTGCAGCTCTCTTCAAGAGTTTTATTGTGATGTTCAAGGTCAGGTTGAGGAGTGTAGTTGTAGCACATGGGGTTACTTTGTATTAGAATTTGCATTTGAATTACTTGCCAGTTTTCTCTGGTGCAAAAAAAATCCCAGAAGACTTCACCCATGTAATGAAAACATTTTTGATACACAGGTTACAATCAGCTTCTCAGGATTTGTTCTGCACCTGCAAACTGATGCAGAACAGGGTAACCCAAATGTTATAATGTAGGAAAGAGTAGATGATTTTCTTCCTCCTGCCATGGAGACCTTGGGAAGTTATCAGAAATCATAAATATTCTCATGATCATCAATAGGTAAACTCAGTTCTTGGTTCATTTCTCTATGAAAGGGACCAATAAATGTCCTGACATAGATGACTTTCTAAGGATCTTAATGAGAAATTCTTTCTCTGTCATCACAGGTCTCCCTATGTCTGGTCATTTGCTTTTACTTAGTTGTTCCCTGTGGATAGAACAATTTGATGCAGAAACTCTCCACTAGGTGCAAGTTAACAATTTATGGAAGGTATGAAAAACGCAAAAACCCGAACCTAGAAGTTAATGGAAGGAGGGGAGTACATGTTGGCTGTGAGTGTTGGGTGAGAAGGAAGCAGAGAGATCGGGGTGATAAAAAAGGGTTCCTCTTGGAAAGGAGTGGGAAAAAGGAGTCCCATCTGAGGTAATATCCATTTTGCTCTTTTCCTTCCCATCATCCTCAGTATGGAAGGTTGCCAATATACAGCAATAAAAAAGTTGTTTTGCACATGATCATAAACAAACTCTGGGCATCTGGGTTGTTCTGCCCAGTAATTGAAATGCTGTCAGGGATCAGTCAGTTGGGAAGCAGTGACATGCTTTCTTCTGTAGATGCTATGGAAAATGGTGGATATAAAGAAGTTTTATTCCTGAATGAAATTGTTGAATTTTAAAATGGATGTTTTGAATCTAAAATGTGAATATTTTCAAAAGTTCCTGCAAGGTATGGTAGCCAAATGAATGAAACTGAAGCTGAGGAGAATTTCCCAGCTTTTCAATCCATGGTTCCTAATGAGGTGTCAGTGAAGTCCACCACCTCACTCATGGTTTTTTTCTGTTTCAACAGATGTGCGGTCACTGATCAATAGGAAACATGTTCAGGAAGCCCACGATTCCATCAAGCAGGCGCTTCTAGACTATTCTGTGAATTGTTATCCTCATGTACAGGTAAGGCTGGTGATTTCAGATCACACTGAATTCATACCCATGCTAATTCTCATCACAGGCTCTTTGCGCTTGCTCTTCTTCTTGTGCTTTTATCCATTCTTTTCAGTGTTGTCCACTTATTCAATCCAAGTGCATGAATGCAAAATTTTGCCTTAGCTTTGAGGAATTTTATTTTGTTGCATGCATTCAGTGATAAGACTTTCCAACCAGATTATGAATACTATTTACTTGAGAGCTGTTGATGTGATTCATTGTGCATAGTTTCTAAAAAAAATGACAGCTTTGAGCTCAACTAAGGGAAGGATATTCCGACTGTTCAGAGAGCATGTTTCATTTCCTCACTGCAATGAGACTATTATCTTCTTCCAAAGAAAAAGGATGATCATCAACATTTTGTAATTGGTGGAAAAGAAATTGCAAAGGTCATTTAAAGTACTGTTATATAAGCATCATACAAACATTTGTTAATTATGTCAATTACACTGGTGAAATAATCACATTGGTTTCTTGAGCTATTTTTGTATCTAGATACTTGAGATTACAAGTACTTGTCCAACATTGCTGACATCAGTGTTTACCCAAGGGAATCAGGTTACTGATTATTTTTTCTTCTTGCAGGACAAGTTCAGCAAGCTACTGGGTCTCTTACCAGAGTTGCATCAGCTGTCCAGTCAAGGGGAGGAGTTTCTGTACATGAAGCACATGCAGGGGAGTGCACCTACTCAGACGCTTCTTATGGAGATGCTGCATACCAAGCGCAAGTAGCCTTGGCCATCTCCTAGGTCTCAATTTTTTCTTTTTTTTTTTTACACTTTGCTTTAGAAATCACTCACTTGTTGGAGAGAGGAGAGGACAGCTCCAGTCCTTAGGCTTCTCTGGTAAGTACTCAGGGTCATTCTCAGTTCAGCTTCAGTTGCTTGGGGTAAATTGAGCTTCTTTCTGGCTACATGTTGGTTGAAAGGTGCTGAAGTTCTCTAGTGCAATAGAGTATTTTTATTTTAGGTTCAGTATCAAATAAGAATTTCATAATTTGCACTTGATTTTTCCAACAGAAAGTAAGGTTATGATGCCTATTTCTTTTGCTCCCAATTTCAAAGAAGAGAACAGAAGGAACAGATTCTTGACATTTTATGTATAAAGTTTCCTCAGAATTACAAACAATTAGATATGTCTTGCTGCAGGGCAGCAGGATGAAATAAAGTAAATTTGAATGCTTCTTGGGTAATTTTTGCACATGCCAGTTTTGATGGCTAGTAGATTTATAGATACTCCTTCATGAGCATTGGGCAGTGATCAATCTGACATGTATCAGGAAGGCTCTGTGTGGCAGATTTTGAAAGAAAAAAGTAAAGAAGGAAAGAATAGGCTTTTTTTTCATGATCTCATGTGGTATCTTTCATCATGCTTTGTTGTCTTCTCACTCTCATTGGTTCTTGGCAAGAAACTGTACATTTGGCAATTGCAACTACTCTTTTGCAAGGCTTTACTTGCAATATGCAGTCTTTCGATGATTGTATTTCCACAAAACTTTCATACATACAAGTCCTTATCATTAACTGGAATTCAGTGTGTCCCTGTGTGAAATGCTCTTTTAAAGGAATGAATCCCACAGCAAACTGGGGTGCTTAGACTTTCTCTGTTCTGAATTTAGGGTCTTTATAGGTCTGAAATACATGGCAAAGTCAGGGAATTGAACAAATCTGGGAACTATCCCAATTTTCTGAAGGAGCTCTATGTTGAAAGTGAAGTTGGGACATAAGAGTACAAGTGTTTCCTATGTGGGTTTTCTTAAATGGGTAAATAGGGAAATATCTCTGAAAAGACTGGGCAGACGCAAGTAAACTTATCCTCGAGTTTTGTGGGAAATCTAGAATTGCCTGAGGTTTGTACATAGTCTCTGTGTTCAGTATATGAGATGTATTTTCATGTCTTTTGCCATTCATGATGTTGCAGTCCCTTCGTCTGTATGTGAGTTTCTCATTTGCATTCGATGGGAGTTTAAGTTGTTAAGGATGTTTGTAGATGGCATCAAGAAGGTATATGGGATGTCTTTAAGTGCAAGCTTCTCTTCCTTGCTGGGTACTCCTTTCACCTATGGCATCAATGGGGACTCTTCCAGGGAAAAATCTATAACTTCTACACCAGTGCTTCAGTTACTTGTTACATCTGGTGGATAATTATATAATTAGTTATAATGCAGGGGGCACACTTGACATGGGACAAAATTTAAGTGGAGGATCATTTTACTCTTTTGAAAGTGAAGAAGTCAGATCCAGCCCCATTATCACCTTAGAAATTAATGCTTATTCAATCTTTAGAATGGTTAAAGGGCATGGACACCTTGATGTTCACAAGTATTTGACTTTTGATGACTTGAGTTACAGATAGATAGATTCATGAATTAGGTATCCCAAGTGGTGATCTCACTGCTCCGTTTGGCTTTCTTTTCTCCCCTAGGGTACAAATTTTGCTGGAAGTGTGGATGTGATATAGAATGTCGTGGACTAGCACTGTCGTCTGCCTGGTGAAAGAAAAAGAAAAAAGAACGAAAATGAAGCAAAAAAAAAAAAAGCAGCACAAGAAAGAGAGAGCGTGCGAGTGTCTGCCTGCCTGCCTATTCAAGCTCCCTATCTACCTGCCAAGCTACCCACCTACCTACCTTCTATCTTCCTGCCCAACTGCTGGCCTGAATCCTTACAAGCGTACCATTCATCGATACCAGATCTAGTGTTGCGAAAGCTGGTCATCTACTCTCAAGATTTAGTTTTTTTTAAGTGAAAAAAGCGAAGAGAGAGAGTAAATATTTTTTTTTGTCATGAGAGTGCTCCGAGCTGTACGCGAATGCATGTACAGACTGATAGTTGTGTATTTTCTATTGTGCTGTGGTTTCTCCAAGAAGAGGAGAGCCACTGATAAGTTGTTTCACCTGTTATGATACTAGTTTTACCCACGAGCATGTTTTCTCCCCCTTTGTTTTTCATCTATTCCTTCTTCTGCCTTGCATTCACATCCCCCAGTCCTTTGGTGTGTGTCTCCATGCTTCCCAATCGCTGCCTAGAAAAGTGCATCCCCATGAGAGAGGAAAAGAGGAAAAATGACCGATCTCGTGGGTTATGGCGGAAGTTACCCCAGTGATTGAAACGACCAGGCATGTGCAAGTCCCATGGTGGGCCTTTTGTCTCATCTGTTGAGCCTTCTGTCTCATCTCGAATCCCCTGGATATCAAAGGCATTAGGACTCTCCTTCCTTTCTCTCCTGTCTATCCATTTCATCATTATTCTTCTGTTTCAGTTTCCTTCTTGAAACTTACATTCCAAAGGGATATTTGGGCATTTAAAAGAAACTTCATTTCTCTTGTAGATAGCATAAGGCGAAAGGGAATGAATCTGCACCCCCTCCTCCCCATTTTTCACCCTGCAACCAATCCCAGTCATCTAGTTTCCTTATTGGCTCCTTTCAATAAGAGTTACCATGAGAAGTCCAAGTATTTTGCATAGAATTATAAGGGTGTTATTTTGTTGTCTTAGGCACTGATGATGGTGATGAACATGAGCATAATATTTATGAGATGCAACTAGGCAGGAGGCAGAGACACACATGCAGTGAAAAAAGGAAAAAACTGTTTGTTTTTGTCTATTTTTCTTGCTGGTCACAGAGGAGATGAGGAATGGACTGTGGAATGAATACGCTTAGGTTTCCTGGCAATTATCGTGTATCATAGAGTGCGGCTGGTCAGGGAATCCCAAAGTTGCAAGACGTACAAAACTCTGTGGCCACTTCTTCTGGGGGATTTCTGGAGTCTCTCTCTCTTTTCCCTTATTATCCCCCCCTGTTCTGCCTTATATGAAAGAAAGGATGAAAGAGAGAGAGAGAGAAAAAAAAAATTAAACATTCCACTACCGGTAATGGATTTCCATCTCAGCCAAAAAAAAAAAGCCATCCCTTCATTTCTGTGAATCTCGGAACAATTTGCATTGCTGCCAAAATGGGAATGCATCAGGACGGCAAAGGAACCTCAGTGTCATGCGGTTGGGATTCACAGAGAATTCGCGCTTTCTCCCGTCTCCTCCTCCTCCTCCACTTCCTCCTCGTACTCCTGCCTTGCTTCTTAACGACCCAGTTTGACCCTGCTCCCTCGTCACCCTGAGACATGAGGATATCCATTGACCACTGCCCCTGATAGTCAGGTAGATCGTGCTTCTCGCGTCCAGAAGCCTGTTGGTTTTCTTTTTTGTCTAGTTGTTGACCATTGGATGCAGGAGAAGAGTCTATTTTCTTATCCATGCAAAAATGTCTGTCTTTCGTCTTAGTCTTTTTGCTCTGGTCTCTCGATATTCGGATCTGGAAACGACCCCGGGGGATGGAGTACTATTTTCTCAGTGAAAGCGAAAAAAAAAACTCTAAAGGGAATAGTAGATGAATTGATGAGAGTTTTTTTCTTTTTTTTACATTTCTGTGCTCTTTGGAGACATGTTGGGAGTTGCAAGTAGACACGTTGGAGTTGCAAGTTGAGATTCTATGAAATGATATCCTGTTTTCCTGTTGGAATCCATAGCTGCTAGATTTCTCCCCTGCCTCCATGACATATGCTTTTCTCCATCCAGGCATCACCAATTTTCATTCAGAGTCTTCTTTTTTTTTTATAAGAGAGAGAAACATTTTCAATCGTGTGTGCTAATAGAAATGTGTGTTTGTTCATGGATTCTGTCGGAAAAAAATAATATAGATTTAGATTTTGAAGCGGAGAGTTCATTTGAGTCAGACAACCTGAACATGGCTGCATTCTTCAGTTGCTTTTTTTTGCATCATGGATTCTTCAGTTCTCACTTGCTGGATTCTTCAGTTCCTTGACGTTGATGAGGTTGCCTTGGAAGTTCGAGAAATTTGGACTTTCTGGAGTGATGGAGATTGTTGAAAAGTGTTTAACTTTTGACACATAAGGGGAAAAGTAAGCTTACACGGGTAATGGAATTGTTTGAAGAGATTGTTTGATTAGGTTGCTGTGAAGACGTTTTGACGAGTTGTTTGTACTTGAATGCTTTGATAGACTTGATTGGGCTACGGTGCTCATACTGACTGAAACATGTGTCTCGAGAAATACATGGAAAGTTTTAAAGGAAAAAAAAAAACAAGAATTGCCAGCACTTAGCGACTGGACGAACGGGGGATTTCGGTCGGTTATTCGCGTGGAGCAAACTGACGGCCCGGAACTCCCCGGAAAGGGCCCATCGTAGATGCCAAAGCATGTTAGCGATGACGGAGGTGATTCATCGCTTTTACGCATAATTTCTCCCTGTCTGCAGGGCAATTGAGAGCTCCGTCGACCCGCTCGGATCGACACGACCTCTAAAAGTCCAAAGGGCTCCGTGCAAAACGGAGCATGAGAATCGCATCGGATCGCACCTCCCAACCGCTAGCTCGAGAAACCGGGAACGCAGGAGACACCCGCATAGAACTCGAGCCACTCGAAAGCCTCACCATCCCGAAGATGCTCTTACGAGCTCGTGTGAGAAACTGGCAGACCCGAAAAGCCTGAAGGCCGATGCCAACCCCGTGTCCAACGTCACGTCGCCGTCCGAATGATTTCCACATCAACTTATGACGTTTAAATTCTTCGGGGATGAATTTTTTTTTGCACTAAAAAAAATAAAAATAAAATATTACTGGTGTAAATACCATTCTAGAAATTCATTGAGAAATATAAGCCAAAAAACACACGTACACAAATGTGGCCACTGGCCGGATGTGGTTCGCATGGAATATATGCACAAACGCTTTCAAAATGTTCACAGATGTAATCACTGTGTCTGTGCGTGCGCTTATTTTCATTCCCAGAGAACTTCAAAAGCTGGGGGAACAGTGATACAAACTGCAATGAAAACCCCCAACAAATTGGCAACATCGTTGGCATCTGAACAGTTCGGGATCAGTTTTTTTTTTACCCATTTAAAATGCATTGAGTCAAGCGTTCACATTTGTGTCAGTATCCCTGAAGAGGTTAAGAAGGCAGCAACCACAAAAACCGAAGGACCCAATGCTTCCTGATCAGCATGACGTGTGAATCTTCGCTCTTCGGGGAATAGGGATTGAGCGACGTCGAGGCGGTTCAGGAGTGATGGAGCGGGAAAGATACAGTTTCCCCTGCTCTCACTAGATGGCAGGCAGGTGCCGAGCTGTCTCGTTGCGGCTGCATGTGGAAGAGAAGGACCGAAGCCATATCGTCAAAGCTTCTTTCGAGGCTTCTGGTTTTCTCGTCTTTCTTCGAAAAAAGGATTTCTCAAAACTAGATTCAGAGGCAAATTATTAGTTATTTTTTTAAAGGAAAAATGACAACCGAAAGAACGGCTGAAAAGGGTTTTGAAGCTGTGGAAACGGAAAAGGGACGCGAACAGTCTACCTGCATTCAAGAAACATGGAAGAAAACATGCAGCTTAAGCCAAAAAAAAAGAGAAGCCTAAAGGTAATCCTATCGCCGAAAACCGGATCGACCGCAGATGAGCTCGGAGATTTTGCCGCTCATCTCGAATCGTGCCTTTTCGCCCATGAAAGAGCTCCTCGATTGTATTTCCAGATTTTCGATTGGTTTACGAGGGAGGGAGGGGGGGGGGGTGCTCAATGCTAACGTTAGCATAGCATTAGTTGAGTACTCTGTATTCGACTCCACCACGATTCCGATGTTCCGATGTAGCCCGATCCCACGCGGTTCTTATTCGGTTTCGTGTTTTGGCTGTCAAAAGGGTGCTGCAAAATGAAACCTCGGGAAATGTGACGTTTTGCCCGCTTTCTTGAAACACTGCGCCTGCTTGCTTTCTCGAAACTCCATTGGGAAAATAAAGTTTTCGCTGCCGGAAATTCCGAATGACATAATTAACTTCGATGCTTAGTTTGATATCATTAAATGAAAGCCTGGAGATCCTCAACGTAGGATGAATGTAATTTTTCATGATTAGATTTTATAAATTATGGCATTCATGTCCGAGATATTCAACACAATGCATTAAATTCATGAACATTTTAAAAACAATTTCAGAAAAATTATCGACATTGCTTGCACGTAAAACAGTTTGAGCTCCTTCGCCCAGCTGAGTTTTCTCTCATCATTGTCGGCGCAAGGACGATCGAGTTCCTCTGACAACACTGTTGGTGAAGCACCAGCAGTGTTGCTGGCTTATAATGACTGTTTACAGAAAATATACTAATGAACTATTGCTGAACCGTCATTAGGATCAAACGGATAGTAACGGTAAAGTACGAGGGCCAGTCAAGTGAAGCAGCCAAAATCACACCAGAAATCGTACGAATGACGTATCATCACGACGTCGACTATATATCTTAGGCGTAGCGCTAAAAATTGGCATCACTGCGTGCGAAAGGTTACGCGCGTGACGCGACCTGGTGAAGATGGCTGCCTCCATTGTTCAAGGAGCCGCAGAGGGCTGTCGTGCAGTTTTCGTTTGAGGAAGGAGCGGGACCGCTTGATCCCCTTCAAAGAACGGTTGCCGTTTTCCATGAGACGTGTTCGTCCCCGAGATGAATGGTACAAAAACGTTTCGTGTTTCTGTGAAGTTCCCTCGAGGTCTTCCTGATTTAATTACGGATTCTGAGGCGAGAATGCGGCGTTAACGATATGGAGCTTCAATCTTTTCTTCTTCTCGAGGTCGTCGGGTAGAAAACGGATAGAGCACTCGGCGGGGGAGGCCTGTCGCTGGGCCGACACCGTCAAGGCGGGCGGAGGTGTGGCCAAAGCAGGGGACCAGTCGAAGGTAAGGGGTCTCAGATTTCCGTAGCACTAAACCTAGTCAAACGAAAACAGGAATTTCTATTAGCTGTGCATGCAGTTTGCTGAAAGTACTCTCAAAGGGCACCGAGACGCTCGTTTCGCCGCTTAACCTCTTTTTTTTTTATAGCCCTATCGTAAAACAGCGCTGGCGTCTGGTGGCACCATGTTCTCGCCGCCTCTACCGCGTCTGTTTCCTCATAACTTTCAGTTGCCATGATTTTTTTTTTGCCCATTAAACCCAGTCGCTGGTGCAACCGACTTCCTGAAAATTGCATCACTGATATGTATTTTACTGCTGAAAAATGTGGCGGTGGAGGGATATTTGCCATATTGTAGTTCTCGTACTAAAAACATGCGGTAGAAAGCATTTCGTGCAGAAATTCTTTTCTTTTGTTGTTGTTTTCTGAAGGTGAGGTTTGATTTTATGATTCTGTGGTGAAACTTATTCCGGAAGAGAAAGTGAGATGTGCGGGCCTGGGCCATAACGTACGGAAACGACTCAGCAATCCGCGTTCTAGGAGGGAATTCAGAAAAGAGCCACTGTCCCTTTGGCAAATTAGAATGCGAACAGAAAAACTTTTGGAATCTATGTTTGTGCTTTGGCTGGGGATGGCCACGGTAATTTCCATGGGCTCAAAGACGTTTTCATCCCATTTCGAGCACGATAGGCGGTTTGCAATTTTTTTTTTAAATATTAGTTTCGAGGTCCTAGAACTTTGCAATAGAGATTATTCTATTAGAATAAATGAACGAGTTCCATTTCTAGGAGTCAGATGCAAAAATCATCCTCATTTCTAGGTTGGAAGAAGTAGCTTTTGAGCCAAAACCCTGTACCTTTTCATCTCGAACCATCTGGAAACCAAATTTACGGATGCAACCAGCTCATAATTCCAGCTGGAATTTTTTTTTTTAGTAGGGAATCTCTCACGCGTCACGCGGATTCGCGCGAACTCGAAGCCCCCGAGTCCACACCGAAAGGGAGATATCGGCGTCTCTCGCTCGCGACCTCGAGAGTTTCCCCGCAGGGGACGGCTGGCCTGACGTCACCGGCTGGGGGGAATGCCACAGGGCGATGCCTGACATTCTCCTGTGCTCCGTTGACCTAGGCGGGGGAATGCCACCGGGCGATGCCTGACATTCTTCTGTGCTCCGTTGGCCTAATTGCTTCGGGGTGGCACTCCTCGACGAAGCCTTGCCCGTTCAGGTTTTCCTTCGACAAGCTTTCCTTCATCAATCTAGTAATTCAGGGGGGCGGTATATGGTGGCGAAAGCGTGCATGCTTGACTTCCCTCCATCAATCATGCATTTTCCCCACTGTCGAAGTAAGCCTTGTATTCATTCCAGGGTAGTCAGGAAGGGGCAGTGTGAAGCTGAAAAAGAAAACGATATCGCGACACGCAGACTCATCGGCGATAAAAATTGTCGATAGATATCGCGGAATCGCGAATATGTATATATGTATATCAAAATTTTCGTGATAACTCTGCATAAATAATGACATCGTCTAGGGACTTTTCAACGTATCGGACTTTCCCTTCCCAACTCATTCGACTAGTGCGATGCTAGACAGCATCCGGCATCGATCCGTTTTCTGACTCGTTTCATCCCACTTCATCGGAACCGGTCGCACGCCAATATCCAGCGCTACAGTCGCTTGCGGGCCAGTGTATCAGGGGATGACCTCGGCTCATATCGGGTATGCCGATGGAAACATTTTCGAGAACACTCATGAATCGATCATTGAACGCGTGAGGCGATTCCTGAGACCGGACCCTTTTTCCAGAGCCGTCCCACGATTTTCGTCGCCGGCGGTCGCTCGAGTGAAATCGAAGGCTCCCAAGTGGAAACTCCACGCCTTCTCATCCTGTGTCAGCAGGCAATGTACTTGACAAGTGGAGCTCGAAGAATTTTCAAAAAACCGAAACCGATTCGGTCTTTTTTTTTTCACCGCGCAGTCTTCGAATATTCTTTCATTGCTACGTTGATGATGGGGTTTATTGTGCTTTCTTAGAATAAAACTATAAAAAAATTGGCTTCCTGACAAAAAAAATTAACTTGAAGAGCAAATCGAGTTTTATCGATCGACACGGTCCCACACGCGCGACGTGACGTATCAATTGTGTCGATCCGGAACGACGCGTTTCCCTGCAGTTCTCATTGTCGTTTCAGGGGAGGGATGTCGTCCTTCAGGGGCCTTTTGTCGTCCCTTCCCCGAAGAATGTCCTTTCGAGTGACTTGACGGACAATGCGCAGGATGCAGGAATGGTCACGATCGAAAGGGGAGCGACCGGAATGCATTTCACGGGATTGGCCTGTTCGGAAGGCCTGGCTCAGAAGGCCTGCTCGTTGGAGATGAGAAACGCAGATGTGGGGAGGGAAACGTCAGGGAATTCGGAGATGGTACGTTAAACCTTTCCCCTTTCCCATTCAAAATTCATTCAGCCAAAGGAATGAGATTTGAAAAATGCCTGAGGATGGGGAAACCTGCGTTAGCAGCTGGGAAAAAAATCGAGAGCAAGAGGAGGAATGGAAAGTGTGGGCATGGGGGTGATCTCCGCGAGGACCTACTGTGTATATCTCGAGGTGAAGCAACGATTGCGAAGCGAGGGAAAGGGTCCAAGTCAACATCGCCAGGAGGAAACGGGGACGAACCGGGGATTCGGACTGGGACTCGATCTGCGACTCAGACCGAGATTCGCTTTCTCGCAGGCTCGAGGCCTTCGCTCCGTCTACGTCGTCAGGCCTTGACCGCGTTTTTTCGTGCTTTGTGAAGGGAGAGTCGAGGCTGCGGAGTTCATCTATA